TTTAGTAGGGCCAGCTGTGACAGGACAAGGGGTAATGGTTTTAAACTAAACCAGGGTAGGTTTAGACTAGATATAAGGAAGAAGTTCTTTACAATGAGGGTGGTGAAACACTGGAACAGGTTGCCCAGAGAGGTGGTGGAGGCCCCATCCCTGGAAACATTCAAGGCCAGGTTGGACGGGGCTCTGAGCAGCCTGATCTAGTTAGCGGTGTCCCTGCTCCTGCAGGGGGGTTGGACTAGATGACCTCTGGGGGTCCCTTCCAACCCAAAACATTCTATGTTTCTATGATTCTATGATTCTAAGGAGCAGGACACTTAAACCCATTTGTTTTACTTTTGGAAGAGTGGAAAGACTTCCGTGAAGACTGGAAACGGAGGTGGGGGGGAGGAAAAAAAACCCAACACTTTCCAGTTCTTGCACTGGTGCTGCCTAAAAGCAATTGAGCCTCTCTCCTGCAAACAGCCTTGGTTCCTGGGCTGCGCCTCCTGCGCTGTGGGATGGTCTCTGTTCCTCATCCCAGACTGCGGCGCTTGGCTGAGATGCTCTGTGTGCGTCTGCGGGCCCAGGTTAAGGACCCCTGCTAATTCCCTTTAGGGTTTGTTGCCAGTTCTTAAGCCGTTTCATCTGTCCTAACGATAGCATAGCGCAAGTTTGTAAATCAGAAACATGACTACACAACAAAGTCTTGCATCTGAACAGCTGTCAACCAAACCTAATTACATGCGATTAACCCCACCCCCCCCCCAACTACTCTTACAGCAGAGTTGTGAGTTTGTTGGTGTTAATTCATCAACTATTTATTTAAACCGGCATGACTTATCCCTGATCAGCTCCGCCATTCATATTCCTGGACCTACATTAGAACAACTGGGTTGGGATTAGCTCGCTTCTCTGCCTTTTTTTTTCCCCATCAGTGAAGTGTTAGCAGTCTTAAAAAAGAAATCTGGGGCAAACGGATGGATCTTCTGCGTGTTATTCCCAATTGACGCGACCGTGTCCCCCAAGCTTTGGTCGCTGGCCTCGTTTGAGTTGCTGAGAGGGTTTGTTACTGTTTGGGATTCTCCCCTTTGCACGCGTGGAAGCGTTCCTAACCCTGGGAAACAGGCAGGCTGGGTGAGAGGCTGGCAGCAGCCCTGCCTGGGCTTAAATAGGTTGCAGGCTGATGGCTTCTTGTCACAAAAGACTGCGAGAGCTGTATCCTCAGGTCGGCAGAAGTCTTTGTGCTTTGCTACCGTCACGTGCCAGAGGGGACCGCGCATCCAAATGAACGGAGGATGCAGAAGAAAGCTGCTGGAAATGGAAGAGGAGGGAATTGGCACATTCGGAGCACCTGTGTGGGAGGGGACGGACACCATCTGGCAGCGGGGATGCTGCCTGGGCGCCTGCCAGCGCAGCGAAGCAAGAGGTGGAGGGAGCAGAACTCGACAGTGAGCGATGGTGCCCGGGCGTGAATCACGGCGCTCAGCACTACCTACGCTCAGCAGGGCCGGCGCCAGGTCCTGGGGCCAAACCCCACGCATGCGTTTCCTCACCTGCGGAAGCTCCCGGACTGCTCTGGACACAGAGATGGCTCCTGCAGATTCCGGTGAATTCCAGTCACCGGAATGCTCCCCGACACCGGCACTGCCAATGGCTTTATCATAGGAGCTGAGACTCCTCCGGTGGATTCCAGTGCACTGGAAGCTCCTTGGCACCAGCGCTGCCGATGGCTTTATCGTAGGAGCTGAGACTCCTCCGGTGGATTCCAGTGCACCGGCACTGCTGATGGCTTTATCGTAGGAGCTGAGACTCCTCCTGCGGGTTCCGATGCACCGGAGGCTCCTCAGCACCAGCACTACTTTATCGCAGGGGCTGAGATGAGCTCCCTGTTCCCGGGTACCAGCATGGCTCCTGTTTCCCCAGGTCCTTTTGGGAACGTTTGCAAACAGAGGGAGGGTTGCGAGAAGGCCATCTGGCTCACCCAGGTTACTTTAGGAGCCGTAGTCAGGGACTGTATTAATTTTCTGTATTAATCCTTGTCTCCTCTTCCTTTCCAGCAATCAAGTTCTTCTGTTCCTTGCCAGCGTACGTCATCTTCAGCCATCTATATGAACCTTGCCTCTCACATCCAGCCTGGCACTGTGAACAGGGTGTCGTCTCCGCTCCCCAGCCCCAGTGCTCTGAACGACGCCGCCAACTCCCAGGCAGCTGCCAAGCTTGCCCTGCGCAAGCAGCTGGAAAAGACGCTGCTGGAGATCCCACCCCCAAAGCCACCCGCTCCCCTGCTGCATTTCTTGCCCAGCGCAGCCAACAGCGAGTTCATTTACATGGTGGGGCTGGAGGAGGTGGTGCAGAGCGTTATCGACAGTCAAGGTGAGCTCGGTGAGCCGCAGCTTTCCTCGACCGCCACAATGCAGTGCTCCCACGTGCCGTTTCTTCTTATTTTTTTTTTTGCAAAACGCCAAAATCTGCAGCTTGGGAGGCTGCGAGAGAACCATTTCTGGTCTTATCCAGCCCTGGACTCTGCTCCTTCTTGCTGCGGCTGCCTGCAGCGGAGGGGAGGGCAGAGCCCGGACGGGCCCCGGGAACA